TGGCCACAAACCATTTAATCCAAATGATAAAGGTAGATGCTGCTGGTTTTTTTGAACAACAGGAAATAAAACGTATTAAAATTATTTGGTGGACCAAGGTAACATATCTACTGGAGGAAGCTCTCTGACGCACTTGCAGCAATCCTGCAACCCCATTTTTATTAGTGTTATTGTGCAAAACTTTCCCTAGTTCTCTGCCACTCTATGGAAATGGGGCACCGCTTCAACCCCGCTGCAACAAGCGCATAGGGAGTTGTTAGTACATGATTGCAGGAGAATTCGATGTTTTAAAATATGACTATTATCTGACGCAAAAAGCGCAATCTGCCGTGAGAACATAGATGCTGATGCTAACGCAGATGCTAACGCTGATGCCAATGCTGATGCTGACGCCAATGCTAATGCTAATGCTGACGCTGACGCCGACACTAAAATGAGGATGGAGCTTGGCAGCCAGCATTGCTCCCCCTCATTCATTAAGTCAGTCAAGAAGTTAGCGACAACGAGAAATACTCTAAAATTTTACAACCTCTGATTTTTTTTATAATAACAATTAATTACATATCCTGTTGACACTTATAAGCCAACACCATCAACGCCATTGTTCCCTAAATGGTCTTTACATTAAGAACTGTAAGGATATAGATGACACTAGGGCTGTCTTCAATATGCAGTAACCAGAATGTTTATAATAATGGGGAGTGACATGTGCAGGTAAGGCTAGTTGTAAACCCTTTTGCCATTGCTGTCAGCCTGTCAAGCTTATTAATTCCACTTTCTGTATTAGGAATCTAGTCACCTGTTACTATATTACTGTATTATTTTAATCAACTGTCTGGGGGGTAACGTGTAACGTGAGGTGTCCGCTAAACAAGGTTTCCACATGCTGTGATCAAAGTGTTATTAACTCTACAATCCAGAACAACAAGTCTTTTTTTTGTGATTCATTCTAACTTTTGACTTAGAATTGTTTATCCTATAAAACACTGTAAGTTATCAGTAGTAACCTGCCGGGTGCCATTGACAAGGCTCAGTATTTTCAGAACGTCCCCTGTTGTTGCTTATTTGGTCTTGTTTGTCCATATTTGATAGTTGTTCCTGATCTCTCCCTTTATGTGTTACTTAGTTCCTATATGTTTCCTTATAGTTCCTGTTCCTGTTCCTGTTCCTGTTCCTGTTCCTGTGTCTCTAGTTTAGTTATCATATCATATAGTTTCCCCCAGCAGAGTTTCCCTCAGAGTTCAAAGTCTTCCTTCTTCTTCTCCCTCTCTAGTTGTACTATAGCCTTTGGTTGCAGTTAGAGCAGTTTGAAGGGCTCTTGCTTTTTCTTGTTCTTTCTCACACCAGTGAGAAAGCTTGTCATTGTAAGAGCAGTTTTGAGGCAACAGTAATGTCACCAAATAACACATCCACGTTGGGGGCATTCGGAGATGCCAAAGTCGGTTCAGGAGCTGCTGAGGGTGGTGCAGCAGCAGAAGCCTGGGAAGCAAGGTGGGTGAGAATATTGGTGAGGTTGTCCAGTTTCGCCTCAAGTGCATCCATCCACGGGTCAGCATCCAAAGTGGCTCTGGTAGGCATAGCAGGCGTAAAGACGACAAGAGCAGCGGAGGAGGGGTCAAGTGGCAGGGGCAGTGATGAGGGGGGGTACAGACTTGTACTCACAGCCTAAGTCAGCGCCAAACCTGGCAATCTTGACTGGTTAATCCCATAGAGAGTTTCCTCTACTGTAAAGGCAAACCTGGAGACTCCAAGAAAAGCCTAGCAGGGGAGGATCCAAAGAGAAGAAACTCTAAGGGTCCGCTTGCTAGGGCGCCAACTAAATACTGGTTGTCTGTAACTGCTGATATAGAGGCCTGGGCGGTGTCGCAGGCTCTGTCCCAAGGTGACTGTTGGGAGGGTCTTGACGGACCAGTGATTGTGTCGGCAAAGGAGGCCGAGGACAAGGGTCGGGGTGGGTCAGAGCGTCTGAGGGGGTGCCGGCCAGATGCACCTCGGATGCGCCCTGATGGTCCAAAGGAGGCCAAAGCGGGGGTTCCCCTGACACTGAGCCCAAATCAGAATTTTTTTTGACTGGGCTTCGCCCGGTCCGAGGCTGGTCATCGTCACAGAACGTCACATCTCCTTGATTCAGCGGCCAGCCAGCTCACTTTTGGAACCTCTGGTAGTCAGTATATACTGCAGTTAGGCTGTACAGTAGCTTAGAATCTTTACTAGCTATGCATGACACAACTATATTTTACTATCTGCATTTATTCTAACAAACAAAATCAAGCTTAAAAATCTACATCGCCAAGGTGGCTCTGTAAGAAAACTGGAAGGGGAGTAAAGTGCAGCTATCACAGGAAAGCCGATGGCCAGCATAAGCCACCCTCTCAAATTCTCTACCCTGTGAAAAAAAAAAAAAAAAAAAAATGGCCAGCGGCACGGTCTCCGAGAATCACGCAGGATCAAAGTCTGTCCCAAAACAGATATTCGCTAATAACAGCATCACACCATCACTATTACTGTATTTGCCCATAATAGCCCGGAAAGCCCACCAAAAACTCTAATTTTTTTCTGAATATGACACAGCACGCGGATGCTCATCCTCCCCGCTGTTACCAGCACGCGCGCGTCTGATAGTAACACCCCTCTTTGCCTTCTTTAAACCACCGAACACGCACACGCCGGTCGAGCTCACACTAGGGTGCTGTGAGTTAAGCTGGTTTTTTAACCAGTTAAAAACATGTTTTTAAAAACGGTGTTAGTTACTCTTATGTTAAGCAGATGTTGTGTGAATGTATGCACATGTTTGGCATCAGCTTTAGCAATTTATCTACTCCACATTTCCACTTTTGGGACCACTGCTGTTGAAACCCTAATTTGGTAAGAAAAGCTGTAAAGTCTAATTGGGACACAAAGCTGTAAAATCAAGATTTTACATCAAGTACCATAAACAAGTCCAATCTAAGGCTATTTGTGATGTTGTTCTTGGCTGCAATATCAGTATAGAGGGCATGCAGACCTTGATATTTCATACACTCATGAATAAAATTGGCACATTCAGTCTGCAAAAAATTGTGAAACAACATTTGAAGCTGGGGCATAGCCCCAGCCTGTCTAGTTTCTAATTAATTGGCGTGGGGAGTGTTTATAAACGAGCACGTGTCAAATGACATCACATCAGCACAGCATTAGTGAGCCCGAGCGCTTCTTTTTTCCTTCCCATGTCGACGTCCGGAAAGAAGTCTAGTGGGAAAGCTCAGACTGGCGCTCGCCAACCAGCAAACACCACCCCGCTCCTCGGTGCAGTCCACTATGGCACCGAGATCCGCAATCTTGCTGCCCTCCTCAAAAACCTCCCACCGTCAATCCCCCTCGGCACCAAACACGACTTCTTAGGCCATGAGCTTCGGCAGGATGCGGTCATGGAGCTGGGCTGTGACAAAAGTGTGGTCAACCAGGATCTGGAGTGGTCGTTTGGCAGTCGCGCTGACGGCAAACTTATCGAATTTCAGTCCTGCGGCCCCGGGCTCGATGCAGTCACTGTGGTGTTGCGCCAGTATATCACAGGGCCGGCGGGAGAGAACAAAATTCTCATAAAATGGGTGGACGACCTAACTGCTGCTGCGGAGGATGTAATAGAGCGGTCTGGTGCACAAGTGCGTCTTTTTCAGCATTGTGACACTGGGTGCAAACCCAAAGGCAGTTTGCTAATGGGAGCCCCAACGGGAGCGGAAAGAAAGACAAAGATTTCTTTGTTTCAAACAAAGGAAAAAAATTTGCTTTCAAACTCCCGTTGGACCCCCCTTAGCCAACTGCCATTGCACTTGCTACCAGTGTGAGCTAACACTAATGTCTGTGCAGAGGCGTAAACGAAAGAGCACAGCGGCAAGACAGAGGATGGAGGAAGATGAGGATGAGCAGAATGGCGACAAGCGCCAGCGGCTGGACCTAGACAAGTGCGGCAGGAGGTTTGTCGGTGGGATGGAGAGCGCAAGCCAGCAGTCCAGCCCCACCTCAATTGGCGTTCAGTCAAGGCAGCATTCGCAACCGCCGAGGCGGTAGAGCCAGCACTGCCGCCTGTTGCAAGTGGGTCGGGGGTCCGACCTACCAGTCATTGATCTCTCAGCAGAGAACGAGCCTTCTCCGGACATCAGGGTCTCCGAGGAGGGAGTAAATGACGCTGTCGCGGTGGGCCTCCATGCTCTCAACACCCGCAGCTTGGCCTCAGATGTCTTGGCTGATATTGCCTTACTTCCGAGCTTTGAGTCGACGCGATTTGAAGCGGAGGACTCTGCGGACATCAGCGATGCATTCTTCCGATGCATTCTTCCGTGATCTTCTCAGTGATTCACCTGTCGCTGGTGCAGAGAAGGCGGTGGGTAGCGCAGTCATAGGTGGGAAGGGCAAAGAAAAGGTGACTGAAGCGGCAGTGTTCGATGATGATATTGATGATGAGGTGTTCTAAGTAGTGTTTGTTTTAAAAACTGTTTATAAACAGGCCGGTTTTTAAAAACTGTTAGAAACGGGTGTAAGTATTAGCGGAATAATTACTTACAGCACCCTAGCTCACACCGCGAGAGAGTACATGACATTGACAGATAGATCCCGTTCCGCCGGCCTCCGCCGGCGGGCGTCGATTCGATTCATGTTCTGCTGACGACTTCCGTGTTTGGTAACAGTTTGCCTACTTATTCTGCCTTGTTCTTCTCGGGCGCTGGGATCTCCTCCTGGCCACTCCCACTCCACGCGGGCCCAGGTCCAGCCACCCCATCTCCGTTCGCTCATCGCACGTCGGAAATCGAAACCCCGCTCCGGAGTCCGTGCGCGTGCTTCCTTGTCTTCGGGCTAGCGCTGGGCACCACGGCCCGGCCTCCCGCCGCGGCCCGACGGCGCAAAGACCGGGTCCGTGCTCGTCGGGGAGCGCCCGAAAAGCCAGCCCACTCCTCCGGCCTTGGACATTCATAGCCATAGTTGGATGGTGTGGCACCACAAGTATACGCCGCCCATCACGGCGATCAGGACGCGCGGCCGCCGCGATACTGCAGCTGCGCGAGCCGCACGCCGTCGGCGTCAGCGCCGGGCGACGCGCTGTCGGCCCGGTCCGACGCGGGGTACGGGCTCGCACTGGCACTGGCGCTCTGCGGCGAATACGGCTCGGCGGCCTGCGCGTGGGCGTGCTCGACCTTGCGCGCGGCGCTCTTGAGCCGCGAGTGCTGCCCGCGGTGCGAAATCGTCGGATACGTGCACGCGATGTTCCTCCGTGCGCACTGGCTGCTTTGCATCAGTCACTGGGCGGACTTGGAAATGGCACGCACTTGCACCGCCCGTCGACCGTCCCGTCGTCCGGCCGCCCGCACGCGATCTTGCGCTCGCGGCAGAAGAAGCACGACAGCGCCTGCTTCTTCGCCCGGCGCGCGGCGTGCGCGAACCGCAGCTCGGGCTCGTGCGGCGGCGCGGGCGCGGGGTAGCCGTAGGCCGACGCCGGCGGGGACCCGGACGCGCTGCTCGTCGGCGTCGGGGCCGACACCGCCACGGGGCTCGGCCGATCGCCGTACGGCGACGCCGGCGGGGGCGGGGGGATGGACGTGGCGCAGTACCGCGCGAGGTCGGCCTTCGTCAGCGGGCGCGGGGGCTGCGGGGCGGGGGCGGGTGTCAGCTGTCGGCGCGCGGGTCGCGGGGCGGACTCACGACGCGGAGCGGGGGGAGCGTGGCGTAGCGCTGCTGCGGCGGGCCGGGGCGCAGGACCGGGCCTGGGCGGGCCGCGTCGAGGGCGCAGCCGGAGAGCGCGACGAGCTCCTGGTACGACGGCAGGCGGACGGCGGCAGGGCTGGCCATATGCATCGGGGGCGGGGATTGGGACGGGGACGGGGACATGGAGAAGGGGTCACTGCTTGACGTGAGGACGCCGATTTTATATCGATTGCGCGCGTCATCCGATTCGTCCACGCTGCACGCCGGGCGGGACAACATATTCCCCGGCCGGCTGTCAATCGCAAGCGGGTATCACACGTCGCGCCGCACCCCCGGCTCTCCCTTCCCAAACGCGGTCGGACGCTGTGCCTGCCTCGCCTTCCCTTCCCTTCCCGCGCTCTCCAGCATTCCGCCAGCGCGTCCCCGCCTCCGCGAACCACGGCCCTCCCCACGCGCAGCGCGATCCCCAGCCTTACTTAACCACCCACGTGTCACCATCACATCACTGCTACCCACATCCGTCCCACGCAGTCATCCCACCCGCGCTCAATCTCCGTGATCCGGGCCGCGCGCGGGTGCATTACCCACGCAGTCGGTTGCGCTCCCAGGAGGCCGCATGACCTGCTCGGGACGCCGCCGCGCAGGGATAAAGCTACACAGCTGCCCGGTTGTATTCAGCATGTCATCGAAATTCCAGTCTTGGAATAATGTTAGCAGAGATTCTGGAAATATGGTATAGTTCTGCGAAAAAACTTTCATGAATTCAGACTTGAAATTACTGTAAGACACCAACTTCACGTGAGTCACCGCAATATAGTGATTGTTAGTCCATATGACAAAGGCGATTGATATTACGGATCCACTTCGGACCCGATTTCACAGCTCTTGAGAATACTTTGGGTCGGTGTCAGCAGCGAGTAGACGCCAACAGTTACTAAAGAATGATGTGGGGAGTATTACAACAGAAGGATCATCATGGGGTGTGAAAGCAGCATAGCAGAAGTACAGCAACAGGGAATACTTGTCCAATGGAAGCCTGAAAGAGCCTCCAAGAATCCACAGGAATTGAATTCTTCAAGCAATGGAGGCTGAGAAGTGAAGCTGATATCAGTCAATGTTATCAGCACTCAGGCTGCCATCCAAGTCAATTCATACATTATAGTCTAGAGGCGGAAGGAGTAAAAATTACATGATAGGGTCTTCACTGGTGTGTATAATAGCTTGGAGTGCATCCTTCTGCACCAAGAAATGGAAGGCTAAAAATTAGCAATTTTGCCGCCTCCCAGTGTGTAACAGCAATGCCAGCCACTACTCTATTGTGTGATGGTAGCAGAAGCATGACATGGGAAAGTAGCGATGGGGGCAAGTGTTGTGGTCCCTCTCCCTCTCCCTCAGAATTGCTGAACAAGTTCATCTCCCACAAGACTGAAACATCCTCTAAGCTAAACATTCTTGACCCATAACCGACAGCCTTTAGGTCCTCTAAGATTTGTCGAGCCTTGTTAATTGTAGGTAGTCTAAGTTGATGTTTGATAAGCAAAGCCAGAACCTTGATCATAAAACCGTCCTGGGCTGTAGTATTGTCCCATTAGTCTAGGCTTGGATATGCAGTTTTTAGAAAACATTAGATAAGTTAACACCCCCCGGCCTAAAACTTGGGGATAAATAAGTAAAGGATGAGGAAATAATAAGAAAAAGTTGGCTTACTATCTATAGGATGTTAAAGGGTTTAAATTTCCATTATTTCCACAGCATTTGGCAGCAGTTTGTTTTAGAAAAGCTTTTCTGTTAGTCAAGAGGATGGTATAGAGCATGGCTGGTATCAGGTTGACCAGATAGCCATTACTAGCAGCAATGGGGGCCAGCTCCTTTTCTGTAAGATGGTGTTGACAGATTTATTAGGCTATTGTTGAATCATTCGACTGAGAATGAGTGGTTTCAAACAGAGCCTTGAGGATCTCACTCATCAGAGAGATAAGAACTTTGTATTTGAGGTACTCTAGTGCCTTTAAGATATTATAATAAGAGCCGTAAATGGGCTAGGAAAGCAATTAGCACATAGAAAAGAGAGCTCTAGGACTCAACATCATGTCTGTAGGCTTGTCTTGTTCTACTAGACACTTTAGAAGCGCCTTTACTGAGGTTGGGTTTGCTTTACCAAAGTTCCTGTTACGAGTTTTCTTAGCCAACTGACCCTGGCAATGGTAAGCAAGCTCTATACATTTAGTAATGCTTCAGGTAACTTAGGGCGCATCCTCACTATCTGTTGTCACATAGCACTTAAGAGGCTTTGGGCAACTCATGAGTACCCACCCTGGGGTTCCCATGCATCAATGCCTCTGATCAGAGACATGCAATGATGAATCAAGGTCTGTGCTTGAGACCTGCCCATGATGCATCATCATGTCTCTGGCTCACTGGGTAAGCTTTCTGACATCGGGAAGGTGGCCGTTATGTGACAGGCTCCCTGCTAGCGTCCATCATAACGATCAATATCCGTTGTCATCGCCATCAGCGTCGTCGCCATTGCCATCAACGACGCGCACAAGTGTTTGTGAATAATTCCCAATGATTCTGGAAAAATTAGGGCATCTAGGGACGTGGAATCCAATGAGCGAACAATGGTCCATTGTGCGAAATTCATACTCTGAGCACCTGAATTCCGACTTTACCTGGCGCAAACGGCATATTGTCCACCCGCTGCCCCAGGGCGGCGCGCTGAATTCATCACATCAGCCAGCATCTCGCAACAGCATGAAGAGCTCGGAGATGCACCTTCTGCTTCGTTCCCTGCTTTCTGAGCTTGGGCGGCAATGCACTCACCGGCGACCGGCCGACCGCCCGGCCGCACGGTCCTGACGACCTGCTGGGGCGTCAAGATGGGTGCTGGCTGCTTGGTCCACGGGCCTGGGGCTGGTTGCTGGACCGATTGCACCTGCGAGCCTTTCACCACCGCCTCCGCGGACCCTCTGCCGGCGCCCCCCGGGGCCTCCTCGTGATCGATCCCGCTGGGGCTTCCACGTCGCCTTGCTCACGCGCCTGTTCCGGCCCGCGAATCCAAGTCCGGGCGGTCTTCTCTACGGCACTGCCGGGCCCACGGTTGCGCCCGGGCCCCCAGCCGCCCCGGGAAGCTCGCCGATGTCCAGCGCAACTCCGCGAGCGCGTCCCCGGCACTGAGCTCGGTCGCCGGCTCGTGTGCGCCACATCCCTCCCTCTAGCAGATGAAATTTTTGCTCCAGCAACGAGCGCAAACACACATGCGCGCCTACTCAAGGCGTGATTCCCAATATCACTAATCGAGCAATGGGCCGCGCAGCTTGCCTTCCGCTGCACTACCTTGGCTGAAAACTTACCTGGAGGAAGTTGAGATATTGATTCCTGCCTGTGCAAAATTTTATAGGGAACAGATAAGTGGTTGGTGCACGGTGCACAGTTTCTTCTCGATGAGGATTTCCATTTTTGGAAAACTGAAATATGGGACTTGCTTATGACCCTACTGCTGTCTAGGACAATAAATTTGTTTAACTGAGCACCCAGCCTCATGATCTTATGAGTTACTCCAAAAGATAAAAACTGCACAGATATTCAGGCAAAGATACAGAGGATTCAATACTGGTATTCATAACTACTTCAGCATTATACATGAAACGGAAAAACTTGCATGTTTCTTATCAATGAGCTGTACATAACTGGGGGGCTGGCTATCACAGAAGGACAGTATGGAGTTCAGGACAAGATTGCATAAGTTGAAGCTATAATGAACGTTTTATCGTGCCCCGACATTCACATCTCACGGTCAACTGCCATCATCTTGGTAGCCGCAAACGCCGATCATCAGCAAGCGATGACAATCGAAGCGAGAGGGCCGATCTATCAAGAGCCGGGCCCTCGGCGGGACAGCCTGGGGCATTTCCGAGCAAAATTGATCGTCGCAGGGACAAACCGCGCACTGGGAACGCTGGCAAGGAGCAAGCAGGAGGAGGGCGGAGCAGTGGCAGGCAGTCAGGGTGCAAAGAAATTAGGACAACTGTCATACTCATACTATAGTACAGTGCTGTGCCCGGGAGCCGCCAGGGAGCGCAGGGAGGCAGCGCGCAACAGGGCGCGGACAACGATCGTGGCGACGGCAACAGCAATGAGCGCCACATCTGTCAGACGGGCGGCGGATCAATGGCCGGAAAATCGACACGTGCATTCTAGCCATGTCATGGACATGATGTCAGCGCCCATGCGCGGGCGGGCGGGAAGCGCGGGCGGGAAGCGCGGGCGGGAAGCACAGGTGGGAAGCGCGGAGGAGCGGGGTAGGCCGAGAGAGGTGTCATGATACATCAGGGCAGCTCGGAGCTAGAGCCCTTGATTCATCATGACATCTTTCTCATAACTGTCTTTTGATTCATAGAATCCCCAGGTACGCCTGCTCATGACGGCTGCGGTGAAAGAAGGGGATACCTACCTTGATTAGCTCTCCTATACAGATTAACATAGCTCACGCCCGGCCGCGTAACTGACAGACTGCCCAACGAGGGGGGCGTACCCGCGCAGTCATCACATATCATAGGCGACAACCTCTATTTCCCTGGCAATCCTGAATACGAAGTTCGCAAAACCCTACACTCTGCCTATCCGTTGAGATGACAGATCTTAAGGAGGGGTTGGTGTAAGGGGAGCATGTGGTGTGACAGCTGTGACTGACCACGTGACTGGTCCATACACAGATAGCCCTGTACTTAAGTAGTTGGCTCTGGGGCTGTTCTCCTAGCTCCTAGACATCCCCAAATAATAACATGACATACCAATGTCAAGTCTTATTGTCTCAGTAAAATTGACAGTTCATAGTGGGTACCAGGCTACACAGGTGTTATCATCACCAATATGAGATCACTATCAATAGTATTGTGCCAGTCCTAACATGTCACACTGACCTTCTGCAATAACACAAGAAATGACTTAGAGCCTAGGGTCTGAGAGATATTGCAGTTTTATAGCCTCCTTTATTGCAGCATAGGGCTTTTCATATTATCTCTTCTAAATAGAATGGTTATATAATTGGGATTAACAGGTGATATATATAACAAACCTTGGATGTCATATATCAGTGTCACATCTTTATAGTCACACACATCTTTATAGTCACAGTCATCTTTATAGTCACAGTAAACCTGACAATTTCTTGTAGGTAAGAG